CGCGTTAGTATATATACTATAAGTATATATACAGGTATATAATATATATATATATATATATATATATATATATATATATATATATATATATATATATATATATATATATATATATATATATATATATATATATATATATATATATATATATATATATATATATATATATATATATATATATTATATATAACTATACCCCCATAGCTCTATCTCGACGCTTAACGAGCTTTTCCATTTTTTCTTCTTCTTCTTTTTTTTTTACTTTCTTTCCTCTCTCTCTCCTTTCTTTAACCCACCCCCATCCCATCCCACCTACCCTTATTTCCTTCTTCCTTTCTTTTCTTATTTCTTCTTTACTTTTTTCCTAACTTTTCCCCACAGACCAAGCTTATACTGACCATTACCCAAGCGGGATATTTTTTTTTCACGATATCTTAGGAAAAATGTTGACGTTATTAACAGAAGTAACGAGTTAAGATTAAAAGACTGAAAAAAGGACGAAAGAACAAAAATTATTAAATGAGAGAATAAATACGATACGATACGAAGAGAAAAAAAATAAGAGAGATGAAAAGTAGTTGAAGAAGATGAAGAAGATGAAAATGTGGGGGGGGGGGGTGGAATTGAAATAAAAATTGTAATTAACTTTCAAACCGCAAATCTTTTGACTCTTATCATCCCGCCTACCTTTTTCTTATCGTTTTAATTCTTTTTCTTTTATTTTTTTTGTTGTCTTTATTTTATACTCATTGAGAAGATCCCCCCCCCTCCTTCTATCTTATTTTATACTTTTGACACTTGAATATTTTTCTCTTGGTCTTTTTCTTTATGATAACTCTTCTTCGTGGTTATGATAAACGAAATGTCGGTGAAGAAAATGGGTAGAGTTTGTTGAAGATTAAAGATAGAAAAAAAAAAAAGAAAAAAGAGAGAATAAGAGAGAGAGAGAGAGAGAGAGAAAGGTAGAATAAAAGTAACTAAAAAAAAGTGAGAGAAAAGAAATAGAAAAGAGTAGTCGACAGCGGCAATCTGCAACTAACGAAGCCCTTCATTAAAAAAAAAAAGAAAGAAAAAAAAATTGGATAGTAGTTACTACTGAAAATCAACGTCTATAGCTTTGAACTTCTCATCTCGTTTTTCTCCACTCTCTAAAACATTCTCAAAAATGGAAATAAAATGACAATATTCTTCTATGAGATCATTTGTCAATCATTCACATATTCTTCGATTGTTCCTTTAAACCCTTCTTTGCATGATTTTTTCTTTTTTTTTTTTTTAAAATAAATCAGGGTGATGTAATTAATGCTCTAGATTAAAGGATAAATATTTAAAAAAAAATCCTAGTGCTATTTTTTGACAACTACGTTTTGTTGTATGCAATAGTCGTTTAAAAAAGTTGCCAGCAACAAGAAATATACAGTGGAAGGGTTTTGAGTACCTTTTTTTCTTGACTAAATATTATAATTGAAATTTCTATCATCATGCAAAGAAGGGTTAACTACGAACGATTCACAGATTACATAAAATTGATAATATAATACTACTATTACTACTATTAATACTACTATTCGATGATTCATATTTTATCTTTAAAGTATATTGACCTAAAACGATAAGGGGTGATTAATATATCGTTGATTTATACATTCTGTAAATTATTCAATCATTTTCTTCGTATATATATATATGTATGATCATTCAGAAATTTAATTTATAAAAAATACGATAAAAAAATAATATTCTAATTAATTCAATTAAATATATAAATTAGATCTAATCGTCAATGGTATAATTAACATTGGACAACAATGGCGTGTTTATATATACGTCATTGTGAGACACACCATTAAATCATTGAATCATTTCATTCTAGAATTACGTCATAAAAAATCATTGACAATTTGTAATTTATAGGCTACACTATAGAAATGATTCATCGGGTGTGTCAGGGATGCGTCAGGGTTATTTCTATTTTTTTTTTATATATCTCATTCAATAATTAATTAATGATATATAATTATCATTAAATAATAATAAAAATGTATAACACGAGATTGAATTATTATTAGTAATTATTCGTATGTAATATATACAATGAATAGTTCATGTTAATTCAATTCAATAAATCGAATCTAATCTCTATAGTCTAATTGGCCTTGAAGGATGACGTGTAAAATACATCACTGACACGTACGATAAATCATTGAATCTTATAATTACTTCATACCACATGAAAGTCATCGACAATTTCAATGAATGAACAAAATAAAATGAATACAAGTGAGAAGTTATCACTTCAATAATATATTGAGGAAATTAATTAAATAATAATACAATGATTCAATTATTCCAGCCTAATATATCTATCTGCAATATAATTGGCTTATAACGATGATGATGCATCTAAATAATATGTCATTTACACGCCACGAATCATTAGACGAATTTATATTTGCAATTTTCCCCACATAAATTCAATTACTTAAATAATATCAATCTATGGAATATTTCTAATTCGTATATTAACAAACATATAAATATAAAAATAAAAATATAAAAATCATCAGATCGTCATAATATATTAGCTACAATTAATAATGAAATATTTTCATTGTAATCGTGTTTATAATGTTAATGAAATTAACTATTATACATATTACGTAATACTGGACACAGGAATTCTGCTTCAAATAGTCTCTCATTTCTCTCTCTTATTCTCTCACACAGTCATATAAACTCATTCACTATCTCTCTTATTCTCTCATACACTCATATATTCTCTTACTCACTCTTTCTATCAAACAACCATTAAATATTCCTATCTTTATCTATCTTTCGGTAAAACCGTTCGTTTCTCGTATAATATCGGCCAGTTCGCACGCGTTACATTATAATTCGCAAACGTTGCCGAATACGTCGAGCGTATAAATTTTAATCACTTTTCTCTTCCCCTCTCTCTCTCTCTCTCTCTCTCTCTCTCCATATATATATATATATCTATATCTATCTAACTCTATCTCTATTTCCATCTCTCTTCAACTTCCCACCGTGAATTACTTTCAAATTTGCAAACACGATTTCCCATCGCGAAGAACATTTAACGATCATCCCGAAATAATATTCCAAATTTTGAGAAAGATATTCGACCGATCGTTAAAATTGCTATTAAAAAAGAAATGATAATTTTTCCCGATGATCGCAGTAAACAAAATGAAAAAAAAAAAGACAAACTCATCTCGGAACCGCTTCATTAAAATCTCACAGATTTTTGCGTTTCATTCAGTGGATTCTTTTTTCGTTTCTTTTTTTTTTTTCTTTTTTAAGGGAGGGGGGATATTTTTTTTTTTTTTTTTTTTTTTTTTTTTTTTTTTCGTTATAAATTATTCATCACAATGATGTTTCACTTTCTTTCTCTTTTTTCTATTTCTCGATAAGACTTGACACTGTACAACTGGAGACAATAACTCGCGACACACGTAAATTACCCTTTGTCAGAGTAGGACAAGAATTTGAATGGCGAGCAATGTGAACAATGCTGAACGATATGTCGGCCGGATCGGGTCAATATCCGATCGAAGGTGGGTCATTTCGAAATGGTTCACCTTCGTCGTTTCGCTATTCGAATTCATCCGTGAAAATAATGAAAAGGTAAAGTCAAAAAGAAAAAAAAAAGTAAAAAGAGAAAAGGACTTCGGTAGCTGCTCCTCCACCCCCTTCCTCCTCCTCCTCCCCCTACCTCCCTTTATCTGCCAATAATGAATTTCAATAGACCGCTGACTGACCGACAACTATTCTTCTCATTTTATCCTTCAACTGCACAGGGATTGGTCTCTTCTGTTTAAAATAATTCGAATAAGTCGACAGAAGGTTTTCCCTCTTTCCCTTTATTTCAAAATGAATTGAAGAAAAATGACGGTGACAGGAACGACCCTTTCTACTTCTCGACTCATTTTCTATCCCTTCTCTCTCTCTCTCTCTCTTTTTGTTTCTTTTCTTTTACAACAAGACACGCGACCACGAAAATAGTAATGTCCATCTGCAAATAGGAAGACCAACGAGAGAACTAGCCCACTACCAACCAGCTAGCTAGCTAGCTAGCTCTGTAAAAATGTGAAGAATTTTCTAATAAGCGTTTCGTACGTGCTTTTCCATTCACCACCCACCCACCCCCCACACACATATCCCAACCATCCACCCACCCACTCATCCATCCTTCAAAAAAAAAATAAAAAGAATCCGAGAGTAAATTTGTCCTGTGTTTTTCTCGCGAAAATTATTTTTATTTTCAACTCGTACGTGAATATTATAAGAAGAAGAAGAAGAGATAAATAAAATAAATCCTGACGATAATTGCGTGCGTGTGTGTGTGTGTGTGTGGAGAAGGAGTAAAAAAAGGATTGAAATAAATAGCAGATAAAAGTAGTTGAAGGGGTGAACGGAAGGGGGTGTAAAATAGAGATAAAACAAGAAGGAAGAACGCGATGAAAATTGTGCGAACAAGAATGGAAGGAAGGAAGGAAGGAAGAAAGGAAAAGAAAGGAAGGAATGCGTGTCGCGTTTCACGACAGACAACACGCGCGTGTAACCACGCCAGCGGCGGTGTTTGAAATATGCAAACGGTACGCTGACAACGTTTCCAACATTACATGCTAGACGAAAGCAATTGTTCGCGCGCCATTCTCGTATATTAAATCGTACGTCATAGGTGCATTAGTTACTGCGATCATTCCTACAATTGCTACACGTTTTGCGATCAAATATTATCTTTATCATCCTTGTTTGTGTATACGTGTATATATATATATATATATGTGTGTGTGTGTGTGTTGTTTTTTTTATTTTTATTAAATAAAATTAGCAACGTGTAAGATTAGAATACGAGAGATGAATGAATAATTAAAAAACAAACTCCCCTTTCCCACTAAAAAAAAATACAAAAATACAAGAAACGTTGGAAAGAAAATCATTGTTAATTGGTATGTTAATTAATCATTTTTCAGAGAGCACTTTCCGAGTGACGTTACAAAAGAGCAGTCGAGGTTTAGGCTTGAGTGTTTCCGGTGGTGGTACTGCAGGACCCGTCAGAGTGAAGAGGCTCTTTCCTTTACAACCTGCTGCATTGTCTAACAAACTTCAACCCGGAGATATACTTCTCGCAGCCAATGGAATCCCTTTAACCGGCTTAACGAATTACGTGAGTATTAATTCATGACTTTGAAATACAATTAAAACTACACCGATTATATCATATTAAAACAATGCAAATTCTCTATCTTACAATTCGTCCTACAAACTTTAATCTATGTAACTTTACGAACTCTTTTGCTTTTACTTTTGCTTTTTCTTTTTGTATATATAATTCCTTTGGATATTTAATATATTTTTTATATTTAATTACGTACGCGAATGTGTGTGTTAATGACTTCGAACTTTAATATAACTGCGATAATGCAATTTTTATTGTATAAATAGAATTTATATGATTTATTTTGATATTAGCAATAGTATTATATTCAAAATAATTATTAAATTTGGAGCCACAAAAATTGCAGCATGTGCTGCCATCTTACGTCGCGTACAAACGTTATTTTTTGCGCTTGGTCGATAACTTGATAAAAAACGGTCGGTAACAAAACAGTCGGTAACAAAACAGTCGGTAACAGAACAGTCGGTAATAAACAGTCGGTAACTGTATAAATCTGTCGATAATAAACAGTCGGTAAATAGTAAAAAACTTAATAAATAATTGCATAATCTAAAACATATATTTTTTGTATATGCATAAAAAGAGAAAAATATATCTAACTTATTAAGTACGCTACTTTTTGTAGGAAGCATTAGAAGTTTTACGAACGACCCCGAACACGGTCGAGTTGGTAGTGTGCAGACTTCCAGGTGACACAAATGTTTCCCCACCTGGTGCACCCCCGCCACCCCCTGCCCGTCGTGAACCACCACCACCATTACGAATACCCAACCCTCTGCCACCACTGCAAATAGAGCCCTGTGGCGTAAGTAATATTCATAAACGATGATTCGATGAATATCTATGGTCTTCTATTACAAGAGAGAAACCTATCCTCCTATGAAATACATTTCCCATTATAACTAAACTATTCAAAGCGAACTTGATGAACTGTTTGAAACTAACTGGTCCCGGTTAATAAATTTAAATTCAACCAAATAACTAAAATGTAAATAATTTAACAAAGACATTAACGCTCACTTTAATTCTATATCACGTGTATGTATCGCAGGAATTCGACATAGAAATGTTGAAAGTAGGAGGTAGCTTAGGGTTCACCCTGAGAAAAGCTGATAGCAGTGCATTGGGGCATTACGTAAGAGCACTCGTCCGTGAACCAGCACTCAGCGATGGTAGGATTCGTCCTGGTGACAAGATCGTCGCGGTTGATGGTGCACCGCTTTCACCGATGAGCCATGAAGAAGCTGTGGCCCTCTTGAGACAATGTGGACCCAAAGTGAAGCTTCGATTATATCGTGATTTGGCACAAACACCGGTTTCCGCTCTATCGCCAACCGAACCAGATCATCCGCTTCGTCCACCGCGAACCTGTTTGAGGTTCGAGTCATTTTGAATTAGATGATTAAACGCGATTTAACAGAAACAAGGAATGATTATGGATATAAAACGTCTGATTTCATTTAACAGACAAGAAGCAGTGGATATGCTATGCGATTTAGCAGCCCGAAAACTATCGCCAGGTACGTCTAGCGGTTCTAGTTGCTTGCAATCACCTGGGGCATCCTGTAATTCACCGAGAAGACATCGAAGACTCGCAACGCGTACTCCCACTGCCGATAACGATCAAGGTATCGAAACAAACCTTTGACAAATCTTACATTCCGATTGAACGTCTTTTGAAAACGTTGAACTATCTTTCTCGTAGAGATCCCGGAGAAATTTCACGAAGGACAAACAACATCGATAGGTAGCCAGGCTGAAACTTCGGATTCCGATCAATGCTCTATCAGAACGCAAATAACAAACTCTCAAGCGAATACACCGATCTCCAATACAGACATAATCATAGATCCACCATCGCAGTACCACGTATGCGAAGCTAACGAATCACCCTTGAGGACTCCAACACGACCAAGTTTCTTGGATCTATCCGCGCCACATGGGAAACCACATTTTCAATTTTGCAGCGCTGATTCAGACGAGTATCCAGTAGAAACGATGCTGTTCTCCGAAAAGGATTCAAGTTCATTTGAAAATGATTATCGTGGCAAAGAAATCCGTGGATTGTCCAGTGACGAACAGGACACCGATTTACCTTCGGAACCAGCATCGATGCCACCGGTACTATCATCAACCAGCAGTACCAGTACAGCTGCCTTCAGTTACAAAAATCCTGCCTATCAAAGTGCCAATCCGGCATGCGGCGTTACTATTGACACCGCATCGAAAAACAAAGTTACGCATTCGAGCGATCAAGATATACCAGGTTAGTATTTACTTAGATTACTTTTACATCCCCACTTACTCGATTTCAAATCGCGTAACGTTGATAAAGACTAACAAAGCGATAAAAGAAGATTATCAGTGGGCGTGCTAAGCAACGTAACGTTCGCGCACAGTAGCGAATCGCTTCTATTTAACTCGAGCACATATCGTTTTCAATCGTATCTTTGCTTTCTTAGGTAAGATTCTTGGAACAGAAGATCCTGCTGGTAGCAAGGGTCTTTTAAAGTGGAAAGGTGTTATGTTTGCACCAAACGACGATATGAACGAAAACGAAAAAGATGAAAACAAAGTTGACGACGATAACAAAGACACTTTGGACTCGGCTGTATCTTCTGAAAATCAGGATGAACAGGGAAACGAAGTAAGTTCGTTCTATCGACATCTGTTTAATTATTTTTCTAATAATTCATCGAAAATTTCTAATTACTTCGATAAAAATCAATTAGGTGTTCATGGTAGAATTGACACGTGGATGGAACAGTAGATTAGGTTTCAGTTTAAAATCTGAAAATAATCAAACTGTTATATCTGTCGTACATCCAGACAGTGTTGCAGCTAGAGACGGAAGACTGAGACAAGGAGATGTGTTGTTAATGGTTCGTATTAAAAAATTTCAAATACTCCAAACGATTAATCTATTTATAACGAAATTCCTCTATTTATTTTTTCAGGTCAACGATGAAAGTGTTGAAAATATGACGACAGCTGAAATAATAGACTTGTTACGTAAGATACGTGGTTCTATAGGTATCACTGTGATGAGAAGAAGCAAGCAAGAAAATAACGCGACGTGACAGTAAATCGATAATTGTGGAAAAAAATATTTACAAAAGGCTCATCGAAAGATAAACGATGACACGATTCTTGTAAATCTGAAGATACAGAAACGAATCTGACGTATAGGATATGTTAACGATCGAACATCCTTGTAGATCGTAAACCTCGTGATCAATAAAAAAAGACTGCGTTTCCTATACAAATAATTAAGAGCGTGAAAGAATATATCTATATAGAAAAAAAGAAATTAAATAGATGATTTATCCCAATTAAAAGAAAATAAATGAAGAAGGAAAGAAAAGGAAAGAAAGAAAAGAAAAGAAAAGAAAAATTAGAAAAGTATTTTTCGGCTAGAATTACTTATCGAATTTTTATTAAAAAAAAAAAAGTTAACAGAAAAAAAATAAATCAAAGTGTGTCCACTGTATTTATAAAAAATTATGAATTCAAGATTGTCTAACAAAAAAAGAATAATGAAAATTAAATAATGCGATTATTTATTCGCTCGAATCTCTGTTAACCTGTTTGTTACTAGCGATCCCCCATATGCGGCTCGTCCATCCAAAAACCCCATATGAACAACCGACTGACCCCTTATAGGGATCGTACTATCCGACTATATTTATGCATGAGCGAATGGGTAGGCAGTAACGAAAGGGTTACTTATTATATTAATATAAATATTATTTTCAATGTTCACTGCGATTAATATATATATATGTATATATATATTATTTTAATTATATCGATTTGAAAAAGCATCCCATTCACAGCGTCGAATAATTGCCTTTTTTAATCTCTTTAAAAATTCGACGAATTAGGAAATTCCAAATAATTGTTGTATATTCTTGAACTTATTATTCCTAAAGTCAGTATTTCTGTAATAATACAATACACGTTCATGTGTATATGTATATATATATATATATATTAATATAATTAATCGTTGCCGCAGGAACAGTAAGATTTAAAAACTTCATAATCAAATTGATCATAATCAAAATGTCTGTCTTATTGTTAGAAGTCTTCAATACGCGATTTAGAAAGAAAAAAAAAAAAATTCAATTTAAACAAATGTGTCTCTCTTGGGATTTAAGAAGAAATTAATAAAATAGAAAATGAAATAAAAAAAAAAATAAATAAAAATATGTATTAATTAATAATTAGATTAAATTTAAAAAAATATGAAATGAAAATTAAACGAACGTTAACTACTAGCTTCTATAAACACGCCTGATAAAACATATCTCATAAGAAACAAATCACATAAAAATACACACGCGTATGGTGCACGCATTGTGTGTAGAAAAATTTCAAAATAATAATTTATCATCATCGATGAACACGAATTACAGCTTTAGAAAAAATATAAAAAATAAATAAAAAATACTTATGATACACACACACACACACACACATACACACACGAGTAGCGAATAGAAAGAAATTATAGTAAATTTCATCTCTCACTTACAAGAGGAACATTTTTTGAAAATAAACTATCTCACGATTATTCTGTGACAGGCAATAATAATTAAAAATATATATATATATTTATAATTATTATGAATTATATAATTATTATAATATTTATAAATTAATATAAAAGAATCCGTGACACGTATTCGGAAAAAAGAAACAAATTTGTGATTTCATTATGGAACAAGAAAATCTTTTCTTCTACTTCGTTCAACCGATCTACGAATAAAATTCTATCTTTATTTATATTTATTTAAATAAATAGAAAACTAATAAAATGAAATATAAAAAAATAAATTCTACGTACACTAGTATACACGAAATATATCGACTGCAAAAAGAAAAAAAAGATTAAATAAACAGTCCGCTTGTAGAATATTTTTTTCGAGAGTGTATCAACGATTGAGTAACTACCTCGCGTGATGCCATACCATGTAGGATAAAACAAAGTATAAACGAACAAACAAATAAAAAAAACATAGTATATGAATGTTAATTGTTTCCCCTATTTTTTTATGTATTCTTTTTTTTTTTTTTAGAAACGTCACTTAGATTAATTCCAATCTCAAACAGAATAACCCCGTTCCAATTTCAATACTGCATTCGTATTCACTCGTAATGAGAACGGAATTAAAATTAAAAAATAATCGTCTTGACCACGGTGCAATAAAATTATCGGAAAATTTAATAGAACAAGAGAAAATAAAAAAAAAAAGAAAATAAAGATCGTTATTTTATGAATGTGATAGCTGTTTCCAAGTAAAATACTAAAAAGTTTATAAAATAAAGTCAATGATATTGTAAATATTATACAATAATAATGAAAAATTAAAAAATAAATAAATAAAGCAAGCGAATGTGGTGTAAATGATACCAAAGTGTATTTAGGAAACATCAAAGACAACTATTTTAACGTTATGTAATTCCACACTCTCCTTAAATTATTGTTAATAAGTATTTACGAATATTGTAAAATATATAGTATATGAAAACTTATGCATTCGCTCTCATATAATATTATTAATTATTATTATTATTATTATTATTATATTATTATTATTATTATTCTTGTTGAATCACTTACTGATTGGAATGATGTAATATATTCAATAAACTACATTGTCTTTGATAATGATTTTGATATTTGTTTCTCCAATTAGAGCATTAACATTACAATATAAATATTTATTATTATTTTAACACAATAATGTTCTCCCCCTTTAAATAATATATTTATATATATATATATGTATTTGTGCATAAATATTAAAAAAGATTAGTAAGCGTTATTCTTTCTTGTAAAATCTGTCGATTACAGCCGCAATATACTTGACTAATATTTTCACGACATCATCGTTCTGTCGTATTACTATTTATAGAATAATTATTATTAATTAATAATCTTTTAGATTTTCTTTGCGGCGTACATGCCCCAGACGCTAATTGTTCTTCCCTTCCTTTTCGTAACCTCGTTGATCTTTTATTTTCTATATGGTTAGCTTCATCAAAATGCTCTCCATTAAATGTTTGTATATTTTGTTCACTTAGAAAATTTGTCTGTACTTTAGGTTTATTCCTCTTTGTTGAGACATTCGCTTCTTCGCAAATCGCGTTATCGTATTTTCTTTTTTTATACCTTTTAATATTTTCTTTCCCCGGTTTAGATTTTGTAATTACGCTTTCTTTAACGTCTATATCCTTAATTATGTTATAAATTTGTTTTTCAAACGTCTCTGCAATACAGATATTCACTCGTATAATATATCAATTATGCGTATATCTATCGTGATTAATAAAATTGTAATTGTATCAAATTACGTACCAAAATCTGAATTATAAATAATACTGTCGTTGCTAGAAAAATCAGACGTGTAATCTTCCAATTGCATTTCTTTCAAATTACCATTATTCTCTTGTTGCATTTCTTTCGTCGTTGATTTATTTTTTTCCATTTGATCTTTTTCTATACATGTTTCTTTCATATTTGCAGAGGTATTACTCGAACATGGAACTTCGTGAGATACTATTGGACATTTATTTACAAAAATATGAGAATTATTACTGCTATTTGTCTTTTCAATTTTCGAATAAAAAAAACCTGCACTCGTATTAGCTAGTGCTAATTTTTCTTCTTCTTTCTCTCCGTCTTCTTCTTTTTCTTTTTCTACTTTGTCAATTACATTATTAATATCTTTAACTTCTTCATTAGAAGATAATAATTCTGAATTGAAAAAATTCATTGGATTTTCACTAGAATACATTTGTAATGGACACTCAACATCTGAATCTGAATTCTGCAAATCCAAATTTGAAGAATTTGTTGAATAAGCAGAACTTGCTTCCACAGCAACGTTTTCATTTAATATCGAACGCCTCGCTGATGGTTTTTTTGGATTTTCCATACATTTGATTTTCGAAATCAAACTCTCAAAACTATTTTTATTCATCTCTACTACAAATTGAATAAACATTAGAAAATACGTTATGCATATTTTCATTGAAATTTTAATTTTCAACAAATTAAAACTAAAAAACATACAATACTTTTTCCTCTCCTCTTCAATAACATTATCAGCTGTGTTTCTATTGACTTGCAACTTCTGCAAATTAAATTCATTTGTATTTTAAAATACAAAATTAAAATCGTACGATTAATAAATTAAAGTTTGAAAAGAAAAAACGAATATTACAACAAATGTTAATTGGTTAGCTTTCTTTTCTAAATTTTCTTCATCGTCACATAATTTAAGTAATTCAGAAACGGATCTAGGATTTTCCTTATCACATTCCGCATTATAGAGAGTAGTATACCTCTGAAGTCTCATCACCAAAGCTTTTCTATCGCCAACATGTGAAAGACCTAATTCTCTTAATTTTTTTTTAATTTCTGCCTCCTTCATTAAACTGAGTACTAATTTTGGTAATGGTTTACGTTTAGGTTTAATTCTGTAACAATTATAACCCATGATTTATAAAATGATCATACAAAATAACGAATAATATAATACTTTCTTACTTGACTGGCTTATTTTTTATTACTTCTCTTTTCAAACAATCATCTAGATGTCTGTTAATATTTTTTTCTGAGACGTTAACCTTACAAACTGGACATATTACCACCTCATCGCTGATAACATTTTGAGATGCAACTTTCTTACTTTTTGGTGTAAAGAAAGATAATACTTTGGCCGCCTTACTAGTACTTGGACTGAGTAAAGGAGTTCCTGAATCTTGTGACGTATGCACAATTTTGTCAACATTTGTTGTGATACACCGTTGTGCTTCATCATTGAAAGTATTTTCATAACCAACATTTGGCTGTTTAACGATAACTAAATTTTTCTCATGATCCATAAACTTAGACGAATCACAATGACTAGTACTTAATTTATCATTTTGTAGACTTTGAACACATTTAGCTAATTTATCTTTCAATACTAAGAAATATTGTTTGATTTCATCCAGTGCTTTGTTCACTCTCAAATCCTTTTCAAAAACCTCTTCGAAACAAGTTGGACACTGTGTCTTGTAATGCAAATACTTTCGTATACAAAGTGAACAATCTGAATATAAAAATGCTTAATTATCATAATGGATGATATTTTATATAGATTACTTACAATTATGAGAACATGGTGTAATCACAGTTGTGTCCATATATTCGTAACATATCCCACAAAGTAAAATAGTATCAATTCGCTTAAGAATACAAATATTAGAGGTTAGTTTGTAACCAAAAAATATTATAATAATATTTATTATTACAAATCTTTAATTACCTTTAATTCTTCGTAATCCGAAGGCAACATTTTAAAATTGTTTATAAAGTTTAACAAGACTTAATAGTGGAATAAATAATGCCAGTATTTCTCTCTGTTCAATTCTTACATTAGATTTGGTAATGCAAGTAAATTCTCGACACTTACAGAACAGAAATAAATAAAATACGAAAATACTCAAAGATGACAATAGAGAACCGTCCGGAGATTAAATTTATGATAACGAATTTTTCCAACATTGCAGTGCATTTATTTACGTGAAAACAATAGCATATTCATCAACTTAAACCATTAATTGCCATAGAGGTCACCGGTGACCAATATTCAATTCGTTGCAGGGCCGCGAGGTGCCACCGGTGAACGATGACCGATGACACAATGATTAGCAGGGGGAGAATTATTAATTAAAATAAATGTCAAATTTTACAAGATTGCTATCGTTACTACAATATGGTGTGAATAAAAATAGTTTTACTTAAACATCAAATTTAAACCTAGTCTACGCCCACAAAAAAATGCAAACTTTAGTTTCCTTATCCCGAAATTCTTATCCTGAAAATATAAAATTTTAAATAATTGTAATTATTTTTTAGTGTATAAAAATGTGTGTGCCTTCAGAAATGCATGCATAATATGTATTTTCAATAATAGCCATAGAAGGTAATGTAATAAAATTGAAGAGGACTGAAGTTAAATCCAACGATGATCACCTGTAACAAAAAGCAAAATATATTAATCATAAAATCAAGAGATACAATAGCCTAACATATAGGTGGTCCAATTA